GCGCTTCAACAGCCATCTGGGGGCTTTGTCAGGAAAGGAGCTGCTTGGTGGTGCAGACAGCCCAGAGGGCGAACCCCAAGGCACCCACCACCGGCAGCGGCAGGTTCCAGAAAGGCGACGTGGCCCCGTGGGCCCTGGGGCCCACAGGGGAGCACCCGTAGCTCCTCTGCCCAGCCGCCGGGAGCTTCCAGATCATCTGATTTTCCAAGAGTAGCTAGCTGGCAGTCTGGTTTTCCTGAGAAATCTGCTGACTTTTTACATGTTTGCAGTTAATTCCAGTTTTTAAAAATCATGCAGCCGACCAAGCACACACATGCATCTGGTGTGTGGGCTGCAGGTTTGGGAACTCGGGGGTCCGGGGTGGAAGTGAGGAAGATGTGGGAGGCTGTGTAGACCCAGGAGAGCATGCCAGGCCCAGCGCCCCAGCTCCAGAGACCCTCCTCCAGCTGGGAGCTCGGGGCTGATGGGGGCCTGGGGGACTGGGAGGGAGGGCGGCGGAGCCCTGGACCTGTGGTGTCAGGTTTCTGTGCCTCCCATCCTGTCCCGCTGGTGGAACCTTCCCGCCTGCAGGCGAGGGTGGGAGCCTGGAGCAAGCGCCAGGGAGTTGGACAGTCCTCCTGGCTTACCTGGCCGCCCCTGGAGAAGAACCTCAGTACCAGCTGCAGGTGAGGGGGGAAAGGGGGAGCTCTCTGAAGTCCCTTCTGAGATTCTCCAGGATTTGGGTTCGAGGCAAGAGCCCAGTAGGGCGATGGGCGGGGGCTGGACCTGGAGCCGGAGAGGCCTGAGTGGACCCCGGCTCTGTGGTTCCCTGGCCCCTGTGACCTCTGAGATGGGGACAACTCCTCCTGTTGCAGGTCATCCTGGGTGTGAGAGGGCTGGGTTTCCTTGGCATCCGGGGTGCCTGCGACTGGGGCCTGGCCTCCGGTGTGTGGTCCTGCTTTACCCTGACAACATCTGGGGCCTCGGGCTGCTTTTAGCCTCACACGCCGGCCCTCATCTGCCGATTCTGCCACTGGTTTCCAAGCGCTTGTCCGCACTACTGTGGATTTATTCTTTGCTTTAGGCAGGAGGCTTGGTTGCAAGTGACAACAGCCCAGGTCACCTTGGCTTAAGCAAAGAAGAGAATCCCGTGGTCTCAAGAACAGGAAAGGTCCCAAGGTGACACTAACCTCAGGCAAAATTTGATTCAGGTGCTCAAATGATACTGTCAGGACTCTGTTGCTTCCCCTCCCAACTCGGCTTCCTTGTGTTGGCTTCACAGGCAGGCCCCTCAGTGTGTCAGAAGTGACTGCCAGGCTCACGGGCGCGTCCTCACTGGGACCTGGGAAGGGGGGACGGGGGCAGGAAGCAGCCCTGTCCCAAGAGCCAGAGTCCCAAGGCTGCTTCTCATTGGGTGAGCTGGGGTCACCTGCTCACTGCTGGACCAATCATGGCCCAGGTGGGTCAGGCCTCCACTCACTCATCCTTCAGCTGTGGAGGTGGGCAGAGCAGCTCCGCTGGGGAGCTGGCAGCAGTGATTCCACAAGACGGCCAAGATGCTGATACCAGAATGGGACGTGGAGGCTGCACAGGCCGAGATAACATCCCACGCCCTTCCCATGCCCACCCGCTCTCCAAGAGCAGTATTTGGGGCTGAAGTGGCCACATTTGGAGCCCCCTGGCTCAGCTCAGGGCCCCCCTTCCTGGATGACTGCAGGCCCAGATCTCCAATGAGCTGTGAGTTACTTTCCCACAGATTTTCCACGTGCCCCAAGATGTTGGCAGGGGCTCGGTCCAGGGCCAGCATAGAGCTGCACCAGCCTCTGTGGCCTTCCTCGCCACCTTCCCGGCTGGGGGCCCCTTTGAAGAGGGAAGCAAGCTTGTTTGGAATGGCTCATTCTCCTGGGCCCCTGTGGGGTCCTGGTGAGCACGCGTAGCTGCTGTCTAATAATCCACAGTGCCGCCTGGCTGGGCGCTGGCACGAGGCTCACCTCTCCCTGCGTCCCCCTTCTCCTTGCTTTCTGAGTGCAGGAAGGACGTTTCCACTCCATCACCAGCAAAGATGCCACCACTGCTTGCATTAGATCTCGCTGGAACTCAAGATACGATTATATCTAAAGCTGCTAAGGAGTCTCTTAGGATTACTTCTCCTTGGTTCCTTCATAATTATATGATTTTCTCCTTTTTCGGAAGCCTGTCTCCTTCAGGGAGGAGGCAGAAGCCCCATCCCTGTTGGAAGAACCATTTGACAAAGAACAGGGAGTCCAGAGGCCCAGGATCTCCAGGAGAGGGACACCGGCTCTGGCCCGGCCTGGCCACTCACGCTTGGGGCCCGTGAGGCCTTGCCTGGGTCCTGAGATCAGGAGAGAAAGGAACCTGTCTTTTCAGGATCACCAAGTGTGCTTTGGCCCCCAAGCCTTGTGTCAGGACAAGGGAGCTGGTCTTTGAACTGTCATTACTTGAATCTTGCATTTTCTAGATATTACAACGGCCAGTTCTCAGGAGGAACTGGGTGAGGATATTCTAAAACGATGGCTTATCCACAGACTGCATCCCTCAGGCTGTGAGATGCATCTTGGGGCTCGTTTCCCCGTTGTGTTTTGGTCACAGCGCTGTCAGAGGACTCAAGTCCAGCCCACAGGGGTGGGTGGCAGCCCCGGGAAGGTGCTGGGAGAAGGGGGGACAAACGTGTCCCAAGTATCCCCCAAGCGGGCTGAGCCGAGTGGCTGACCCGGGGCTGACTGGTTCAATGTTCCCTGTGCCCTTTTGGGAGGCAGACCCTTGGCCAAGGTGAATTGTTCGTCCTGGCTTTCCAGATGTGCGTGGAGACTCAGGGAGGTAAGCGGTCCCCAGACACCCGAGTGCGGTCCACCTTATCTGAAGCCCTTTTGTGGTTTCCTTCTGCAGCAGAGAGAGGGCTGGGGGGTGCGGTAGTTCAGGGCTTCGGGGCTCAGACATTAGAATCTGTTAACTCTCACCCCAAATCCAGCCACTCTCACCTTTAAGGGATGCCTACCTGCAACAGCTTCGACTCTGGTCCCGTTTCCCCTACAGTCTAGTCTCTGCTCTTTCTAAAACACTTATCACACACACACACACACACACACACACACACTCTCTCTCTCTCTCTCTCTCTCTCTCCCTCTCTCTCTCCCTCCCTCCCTCCCTCCCTCCCTCCCTCCC